ATGTCACAAAAACAATTCCTGTGCTGATGTTTGACTACAGTTCAACATGGGCTACTTTCATCCCAGCTTTTCCAGTGAAGGCAGTACAACAGAAACTGTCGTTTTTAAAGGCCTTGAGTAATTTGGTAAGGAAATATCTCTGAAATGCCCAACTGGACTTATTTTCTTGTTGATTTGAGACGATGTTCTGCTGCCCGTCCAAGCAGCTTCTTCAGTCTGAGTAGCCAGAGAATCCAGTTCCCAACAATTCTACCTGGAAGACTAAGAATCTTCATTGGCCTATTGCCACACACTTTGGGGAAGAGACCCTGAGGTTGGTGCGTGAATGCCCCTAAGAATTTTAGGAGTTGGCATGTTATAACAGCTCTCTGCCTACTCAGGTTCCCCTGACCTACTTGTTCAGATTGAAGACGTTGCTTGGATGGACAATGAAGCATAGTAAACCAACAAAAAAATAAGCCCAGTTGCCATGGCTTAATGCCACGTATCTCTGAAATGTTAACTCAATGGGGCACAGGTTTTCTAGTTATTAGTAAAGCCAGAGCTGCAAATGCTGAAGCAATAGTGTCCACATTTCTATGTTCAGTATGTGGCAGAACATTCCATGCTAACATTGGTCTCATCAGCCATCTACGGACACACCGCTGATGGCCCATAATCCATAAGATGTCAAGGCCTTCATCGAAATCGATGGACGAACAACAAATTTTTGATTAAGCGTCATGCTGGGTGAATGTAGCTACAAGGCAGATGTTGTAAGGTCTTTTGAGAAAGGCAGGGGTAACAACAGAAGAATTGCCTTACAATATGCAATCCACTATTTGGTGTCTAAACACAATGACTGATTCCTACGTTGCTTTTGGAATCTCAAAAAGCAGAAAATAAAGGCAATGACCTCCCTCAGTTATGTTTTTCTAATATCTAGTATCCAGCAATGCTATTGACTCCATCGGTGGATATTTTACTTGGGCAGTATGGTTAAGAGGTATATTGAAACTTCTGATGTTTTGCTAATAAATTGGTATATACTAGGTCTTTGAATTGTGACCCTTATATATGAATTGATCCTTCATGTTGTTTTCTGGGAAACCCAGTCCTTCATGTTGTTTTCTGGGAAACCCAGTCCTTTGTTCAATCTCTTCTTCCCAAAATATTTTTTAAAAAATCATAATGTTTTGCCCTTGCTTACTAGGCATAACTTTCAAGAAATAATAAGCTCACTAACTTAATATTGTCACAGTGGATTTGCTATTTTGCAATATGTACAAGACTATGACTTCAGATTGCCTTTCTCCTATTTCTAATACAATCATCAAATATTTTGCAGTTCTCAGTAATTTAGTAATCACATTTTGGCTGCCACGGCTTTTTCTTAGTCTTGCATGAAATAAGTGTCTACCGAAATGTCCAGTTAAAGAACTATTTGAAAGAACAGGAACATTATGCTATTTGGCATCTAGATCAGTCTTCCCTAGTATCCTGCTGCTGTTAGATTTGGAAATTTAAGTCCAACATATTTGGAGATCATCAGGATGGAGAAAACTGCCCTAATGTATATATTTCTTTTTTCTCCCCGTGTTCCAAATTTTATGTTGTTCAAGGACATAATTTATGCAGCTTTCAGGTTTTTTAAAATCTGATGCAGATAACAAATACCAATAATGTTTTAGTTAATAAAGGATCTGAACATCTCTGTTAAGATTCAGTTTCTGATTATGATAATGAAGTAAAAATGGCATCTTTCTTTGTTTCTGAGATTGCTAATGCCTGACCAAAGTTGGTGCAGCGCGAATCTAATAGAATAACAGAATTGGAAGAGACCTTGGAGGTCTTCTAGTCCAACCTCCTGCTCAAGCAGGAAACCCTATACCATTTCAGAGAAGTGATTGTCCAATCTCTTCTTTAAAACTTTCAGTACTGTAGCATCCACAACTTCTGGAGGCAAGTCGTTCCATTGATTAATTGTTCTGTCAGGAAAGTTCTCCTTAGTTCTTGGTTGGTTCTCTCCTTGATTAGTTTCCATCCATTGCTGCTTGTCCTGCCTTCAGGTGCTTTGGAGAATAGCTTAACTCCCTCTTCTTTGTGGCAGCCCCTGAGATATTGGAACACTGCTATCATGTCACCCCTCGTCTAGCAGGACTCTTCTCTCATCCTGCAAAAGTAATTCTCCAGGACAGAGGAAAATGTAAATATGTGACATTAGGTATTGGAAGATTAGATCCAAACAGCTGGATCCAGAAAGATTTGTAGTTCAGCTTCCTATTTTCTATAGTGGACATCTTTGAAGTATTTTTGATATGTTACTGTTAATATTGCGATGAATACGAAACTAAAGAGATGAGGCACATTTTATTTTATTTTATTTCAGCCAAGTACAGTTATTGCAAGATAAAGAATTATGGAAGTACTACGGCCAGTACTGATAAGAATTGATGGGCGTGTTTATAGGAAAAATTTTATTCAAGAGCAAGCTTACCAACAGGAAGAAGAGGAAGATTTTAATACAGGTAAAATCACTGCTGTACAGGATTCCTTCATTTTGTTTATATTTTGTTTTCCTCCAAATGGAAATTTGAAGAGGCTGCCATAATGCAAAAGACAATGTGAAAAATTATAAGATAAAATGTCCATAGCTTCTATTTGACTATTTAAGAAAACATTGATCTAGCCAGTAACTAATATTTCATAAACATAACATAAAATAACACATTGTATAATAAACATAAAGAGTGTAAAGTTCTGTCAACAGAGTTCACACATCATACTATACAAGAATCACAATTAGCTGGGTTCAAATTTTGTTCTATTTTGTAAAGTAAAAGTCAGTAGTGGGAATTAACTTGTTTGAGTCTTCTAGTCCAACGCCCTACTCAAGCAGGACACACTGACTATACCATTTCAGACAAATGGCTGTCCAGTCTTTTCTTAAAAGCAACTATAACTTCTGAAGGCAAACCATTCCACTAATTAATTGTTCTGTCAGAAAATTTCCCCTTAGTTCTAGGTTTAGTCTCTCCTTGATTAGTTTCCATCCATTGCTTCTACTCCTGCCTTCAGGTGCTTTGGAAAACAAGTTGATTCCCTCTTCTTTGTGACAGCCCCTGAGATATTGGAACACTGCCATTATGTCATTCCTCGTCCTTCTTTTTACTAGACCAGGGGTAGGCAACCTTGGCTCTTTTATGACTCAGACTTCAACTCCCAGAATTCCTGAGCCAGCATGGCTCAGCTTGGAAACCTCTCCCTTTCCCCTCAGCATGGCTGGCTCAGGAATTCTGGGAGTTGAAGTCCACGAGTCATAAAAGAGCCAAGGTTGCCTACCCCTGTACTAGACTAAGCATACCCAATTCCTGCAACCGTTCTTCATATGTTTTAGCCTTCAGCCCCCCAATCATCTTGGTTGCTCTTCTCTGCACTCTTTCCAGAGCTTCAACATCTTTTTTATATTGTGACCAAAACTGGATGCAGTATTCCAAGTGTGGTCTTACCAAGGCCTTATTAAAGCCAGACAAACTACGTTATGCCTCACCACGTGTGCTTTCTCATCATAATGGAGGAACATAAGCTGTGCCCCACTGGATCGAAGTCCTGGCCCACATTAACATAGAAGAGCAACAACATCATTAATAAAGGAATAAAATACAGTCCATTCATTTTAAAATTCCCATTGAGCAGTCACCATACTAGGCAGATAGGTCGTTAAAGGAGTAAGAGTCCAAAGAAGTGCAGAAAATAAAGAGTAATTGATTCATACAGTAATGTATATAAACAGTCATTGCTCCTTGAAATCTACTCATATTAAGCATACAGCTGGTCCTTGACTTGCATCAGTTTGTTTAGTGACCAAAATTATAATGGCACTAAAAAAGGTGACCGTTTTTCACACGACTTGTAGCATCCCCATGGTCACTTAATCAAAATTCAGATGCTTGGCAACTGGTTTATATTTATGACGTTTGCAGTGTCCTGGGGTCATGTGGATGCCTTTTGCAACCTGACAAGCAAAGTCAATGGGGAAAGCAGATTCACTTAACAACTGTGTTACTAAACAACTGCAGTGATTCGTTTAACAACTGTGGCACGAAAGGTGATAAAATGGGGCAAATCTCACCAAATATCTCACTAGCAACAGAAATTTTGGGCTCAATTGTCATAAGTCGAGGACTACCTGTGCTCAAAGGGTCTTTGCGAATACCTGTTGAAAGACGAAAGGTTGCAGGGGACAAGATGGAGAAAAGAAGATGGGCAGCCTGGATTTTGTTTCTCCTGTTTTTTTTCAAGGAGGAGAGTGTGTTTTGAAGGGTTTTTTTTGCCTATGTTACACTGTAGCAGGAAAGATAGACAAGAAACAATGGATGGAAATTGATCAAGGACAGAAGCAACCTGGAATTAAGGAGAAACTTCCTGACAGAACAATCAACCAGTGGAACAGCTTGCCTCTAGAAATTGTTGGCACTCCATCACTGGAGATTTTTAAGAAGAGACTAGACAAGTCACCTGTCTGAGATGGTATAGATTCTCCTGCTTGAGCAGGGAGCTGGACTAGAAGACCTCTAAGGTCCCTTCTAGCTCTATTCTATTCTATCTTTTGGCAATTATAGTTAGGGGGCATTGCAAGAACAGTTCCAGGATCACCATTTCTGCAGTAGATAATGCAAAAACAGAAAAAGTGGATGTAGTCCTAGAGAAGCTATTGGTGTATAGTAGACTCGGATACATTTCTGAACTGTTGAAAAATGCTACTACTATCAGGTTATGTTGACTAGCTAAATATAAGAAATTTTTAATAAAAGAAAGCTGAAGTTTATTTTGGGCACATACTTTTTGTGTTTTAAATTGCTCTTAAAGTGGCTGTTGAACCCCACATATGTTGTTGCAGTCCAGATTACATGGTACTAAAAGAATGGTGAACAATGCTATACAGGATGCTACAGATGAAGAGAGTCATTTTTAGTATCAGCTTTAGCAGACAATATCTTCAGGCTTAGAACAAAAAAGGAAGAGAAATTATGAATAAATAGATGCCTATTTAAACAATTGCACAATTATTGGAAAGGCTTAAATATTTCCAGTTTCCATCCAAACAGTAAGCAAGCAAAATGTATAGGAAATCTTTCTAAAAAAGAGTAATAGTCTAGAATTGATCATTTTCTATAGCTTTAAGCTACATATTGCTTAAAGCTTAAAATCAATCCCTCTGACATAACCGTTCCTTTGTTTCTTAAGTCCTAAATTTCAAGGAGATTTAAAATTCAAAATAGTTGAAAGAGCAGGTGGGACACATATCAATTTAATCTATTCAATTACATATATTAGTAACAGCTTTCATTGTTTGACAAATGCTGGCAGAAAAAGTACATAAAGTGATATTCTTCCATTGGTTATGAATTCTTTCAGACATTGTACAAGTGTTAGATGAAAGTACCTACTTAATACAAGCATAATGACTTGCAAAAATTCTTACATGTTGCTAGAGTAATTGAATTCAAAGAATTAGATTTAGTCCTTGCACAATAATGAACACAAGCAAGAAAACATTTTGTATGGTAATATACTTTTGATATAACAACAGACCTAGAATTTTTAAAATTATCCATAAGAGATCTTGTCTACATAGAATACATCTGAGGACCTACTGGATGAATTCATTTTTGTAGTCATAAATAAAGAGGAATGTGATGTATATATGTAAAATATTAATTTTGCAAGTGCTAATTAAAGATCTGAGGTGGTACTAATGGTGATTATGATGTAGCTAGATTAAAGCCTTCAGGATATCAAGTTGCTGATGGTTCCATGCAATAAAAGGACATTTGAAGCTGGAAAGATAGAAGTACAGGTAGTCCTTGACTTACGTCCACAATTCAGCCAACATTTCTGTTGCTAAGTGAGACATCTGTTAAATGAATTTTGCCCCATTTTATGACCTTGTCACAGTTGCTAAGTGAATTACTGCAGTTGTTAAGTTAGTAACATGGTTGTTAAGTGAATCTGGTTTCCCCATTGACTTTGCTTGTCAGAAAGTTACAAAAGGTGATCGCATGATCCAAGGACACTGGAACCATCCTAAATATGAGTCAGTTGCCAAGAGTCTGAATTTTGATCACATGGCCATGGGGATGCCACAATGGTCGTAAGTGTGAAAAATGGTCATACGTTACTTCTTTCAGTGCCGTTGTAACTTCAAATGGTCACTAAATGAACTGTTGTAAGTCGAGGACTACCTGCACAAAGGAATTTGGAATATAAGAAACAGAATATGCGGAAAGCTTAACACAGAAAGAGAAAGTGAATGACTTCAGACAGGAAGGCGGAGCCTAGAGTGGTGAAGATGGCTGAAAAGATTATTGGCAGTTCCCTCCCTTCCATCCAGGACATAGCACAGAAGCGTTGCTTGAGCAGGGTCTGCCAGATTGTCTGGGACACTCCACATCCTCTTCACGCCCTGTTTTCCTTGTTACCTTCTGGGAGGAGGCTCCGTGGTATCCGAAGCAGAACATCCAGATTCAATCATAGATTCGTTCCATACAATATTAACCTAGTGAACTCTAAAGCTTCCTCCTTCTGTTATGTATTCAAGACGGACAGTATTTAATATTTATATGTTACTTATAGGGTGTAGGTCTTACTCTATACATATGTTGTATATAGTATGTTTAAATGTGTGTTATGTGTACACTTTGAGAGCAAGCAACTAAATTTCATTTTTAATGTGTGCCATTGTGCCCACAGTAAAAAAATAAAGGTCTGTCTGTCTGTCTGTCTGTCCGTCCGTCCGTCCATCCATCCATCCATCTATCTACCTTATATTTACATCTTAGGCATCAGTGAATTGAAATGAATTGAAATTAGATACTTTCAATCAGAAAAAATGCTGCTTAATACCTACGATACACAAAACAAGAGACAGCATTGCTTTCATAATCAGGAAGGCTATAGCAAAGATAGTACTTGAGTTCAGTGTAGTCAGTGAGCAAATAATATCAATTAGACTCGACAGGCTATCCTTGCATGTGACTCTTATCCAAGATTATGCCCCAACTGCTGATTCAGAAGAGGAGGAAGTTGATACATTTTATGGTTTAGTTCAATCTGAAGTTGACAAAACACGCAAAGAAGATGCAAAAATTGGAAATATTAAAGGAAAAAATGTGGCTGCGTTTAATGCATCTAGGAAACCAAAATGAAGTAGTGGAACAGCTTAGCAGTTTCTGTCAAACCAATTATGTCTTCATTACTAACACAAACTTCTGACAATCAAAATGATGCCAGTGCATGTGAATATCACCAGATGGAGTATGCTGAAATCAAATTGACTATCCCAGTGTTTCAAGGAGGTGGAAGAGTCCAAATTTAGAAAGAAGGTTGCAGCTTAGAATTGGAATGCCAAGGGATGCCAGTGAAGAGATCGTAACTGATTCAAAGAAGATCAAACGAAAGTGGAAGGGGTGTAGTGAACCTCTGGGCAATAGAAGTGTCAATATTTAAGATACCTTAAGAAAATATTTGTCAAGCACTAGAGAAATCAGGAGACCCAGGCAGTTCAAATGGATATAAAGATTTATTGCAAGCTTTTTTTAAAAAAATGTTGTATTAATTTTTAACATACGGTAATCACCATAGTATTCGGTAGCAAACATCCACTAACAAATTCTCTAATCTATAATCCACACAATAACTTTACATGATTTCCTCTTTTCCCCATAGTGTTCTCTTTTACCAACCTTAAGTTAATACAATTCTTATTGTTTTAATAAATGGTAATTAAATATAAAAGTTTTCTAATATTTCTACAATTAATAATCACAACAATATAGTATTCCTTTTCTATCTAGTAGTCATTCTGGTTGTTTCCGTATTCTTATAGATGTTACTGTAGATGTAAAAAGTAAGTCAAGTACAGTATCTTTGTTAGAGGCATTTGCCCACTCATTTTTATTGAGAACCTTTTTCCTTCTTTTTCTCTCTGCTTCTCTTGTCATTTTTTGTCTCTTCAATTCTAGTGTTTTCCCTGGCATCTCTGCAGTCTATTTTATCCAGTCTTTTTTCTTATCCTCAAGTTTATTTTGTAGTGTTGAAATATAGGTTGTCTTTTCCAAGTCCAGTATTTCTTGTAAAAAATTTTTCACTTGGATTAAGTCATACTTCTTTGTTTCGTAGAATTCCATCTTTAAGTCTCTATCCTCGAATTTATGTTCAATTATCTGTTTTATCTGTTCCTTCTCTGTTGTATTTTCCCAAACTTCTCAATTGCGCAGCGCGCAGGACCGAAAGTCAAATGTATTGCAAGCTTAAGCTCTTTACAAGAATCTGAATATTAACCGTCAAAGAAAATTGGCTGTGAGTAGTTCAGGAATTCCAGAATAGGAATTCAAGGTTGGCTGGATTTAGATCTCTTGTGGATGTGAAGGGACTCATGACTGATGATGCATTTGACCCTCCCTTGGGTTCAGCCTGGTGATCTACAATATTCCATGCTTGCAAGAATTTCTGGTACTAGAAAGTGACATTACATCAGCACTGCATTCCTTACCAAATCAGAAGACTGCATGAATTGATGGAATATCCAAGGACCATGACAGATAACAGAAGAATCAATAAAAGTTCTGTCTAAACTATGCCAGCAAATCCGGAAAACGACACAAAGGCCAACAGATCGTATGAGTTCACTCTACATACCAATACCAAATAAAGGGGATGTAACAGAGACAATGCAAATTCTCCTACAGTATACTTACTTTCTCATGCTGGCAGAATATTAAAATAAGGATTATTAACCTTGTCTATAGTTTATTTATTTATTTTATTTCAAGGTTACCGCCAACATTCTGTAAATTGTCAAGATGTTTTAGAAATACATTATATATAAGGAGAAGTTATTTCCCCTTAACTTATCTACTGAATTGCCATTGAATGAACGTAATACAGACAGTTTTCATATATGCACATATGTTGAAGAAGATTTTTCTGGTTGGTAGAAAAAAAATAATTGCTATGTTTTCTCTTTCAACTGAGAATATTGACTATGACAATGAGAATCACTTTGCTTCTAATCTTCAGCTTTCAGAGACCGCATCTGTATCCTCTATTCTTTTATGCTTTTTTAAATAGACATTTGCATCTGTGGCAGAATCCACTGAAAAGTGTCCCACCGAGTTATTTTGCAGCTTGTATTCGAGAGCAGATTAAAATAAAACACTGATTCACTGTAGCAGCTGCTTGTTGAAATGTCTGCAAGACTAAAATGTCAGTATGATCGTTTTAAAAAGAGGTCGAAACGAGACTGGTAGAGGTTCCCCCCACTCCATCCCTTTAACTGGGTTTTCTTTCTTTAGTTGTTTAAGAAATGAAATGACTGGACCATCTTGGTAACTGACTCATTATTGGCTCATGTTTTACAGGTCTTGGAGATGATTCAGACGAACCCTGTGATGCATTTGTAGTAGAAGAGACAGAAAGAGGATATCAATGTGCTATGGCCATTCCTAGTCCACTATATAAGTGAGTTTGGGGGAATTTAATCACAAGAACTGCACGCAAATGGGTATCTTCTGCTCTAATGTTGCCAGAAATCTTTCCTCTACCTACACATAGATGCTAAAGGCTAACAATTCAGTCTCATGTAGGGTAATGTTGCAAGTCTGGAATGAGTTGCTAGTATCATTGGACTGCTTCAGAAGACTTGGTATGTGTTGGAATAGCCCATTTTGAGGTGTGAATGGCCCATTTCAATTCTAAATGTTCCATAAGGGAATGTTTTGAAGTATAGGTAAGGCCTATATCCGTGATGGCAAACCTTTTACAGACCGAGTGCCCAAACTGCAACCCAAAACCCACTTATGCACCATCGGGTGCCGGGTGGGTGTGGCCCATTGGGTGGGCATGGCTACAGTGGTAACGGCAGACTGGGTGGGACTAAAAAGCTCAATCAATCAATTCCAACTTTGCAAGATCTTTTTTTTCCCCATGAGAAGTTGAAATTGACTGATTGATTGAACCTTTTTTTTTTTTGCACATGGCAGCAGAGGCCTAAAGTGAAAAAGTTTTATAAAACCCAGCTGAAGGCCTAGGATTGGGGCGCCGGCGCGCATGCCCACAGAGAGGGCTCTGAGTGCCGCCTCTGGCACCTGTGCCATAGGTTCGCCACCACTGGCCTATACTTACCTCTTAAGTGAGCTCCATTGACAGCATTGCATGTCACACTAAAGCCAAATTCTTGTTTACCCATAAACAACCAGCATGCTGTTCTGCATTACTTTTTCTGCCCATATGGAGTGGCTAAACCAATCACAAATGCCACTTTCCTGGTTTGTTTTTTGAAATGTGCTAAACATAGCTTCCAGCCCTGGTTTGCATGTAATGATAATGTTTGGCCACTTCTGTTTGGAGGGAAGGCGTGAGAAAGTGATCAAGTAGGATGTGCTAACAAGCTTGCTTATTTCTAATCAAGTTACCATACTGGAAATTCTGTTATATTATGGAATGCAGCCATAGCATTCAGCGGGGCTTATGTTTAGGAAGCAGATAATAGGATTGCAGCCTAAAATGCATTTAGCATCATCTTCTTTTCATGTTATGAGAGAATTCAGAAAAAAAAGCTTAAGTCGCTGATTTTAACAGATAAGTGTATTATAACTTTTTTTTTTTTTTTTTAAAAAAATGCTTTTGCTTGTTTGGTTTGGCCCTTGGTCCAAACCACCTAGGCAGCTTTGGACTGCTTAATTTGATGTAGCTTCTATCTAATTTTGACTGCCGCTTCTCACTGCAGTTCTTTGAGTTCTTTGTTGACGATTAGGAGCATTATGATTAATTTACAATCAATCAGTTTTCCTTGCATCACTCATCAAAGTCCACTCGCAGTGGCCACCACTTGGGAATGGGCAGTTTGAGACTGAGGAAGACATAGCCTTGTTCAACGGTGAAGAGTTTACATGGGGAATATCCATGCATATCTTTTAGTGAGACTGAGGGCAAGCAAGCGATCCCACTACATCAGACATGTCAAACTCGCAACGTCACGTGACGTCACGCAACGTATCAGAGCTTTTTCGCCATTGCCGGCAATGGAGTGGGCGCGGCTCCAGTATGATGAAACCGGCCCGCGGGCCGGCAATTTAACACCCCTGCACTACATGTCAAGCCATCACTGGTTTTATTAACTCCCTGTTTTTATTAAGACAATATGGCCAAGTCTTACCTAAGCACTTTTTCACATACACACACCGTTGTTCTCTCACATATACTCAGTAAAATTGCTACCAAGCAAGTGGTCAATGAACCTGAGAGGAATGGAGGAAATGAGCCACAGGTGCCTATTTTTTTCCAACCAGTTTCCTGTTTGGCCGTTCTCCTTTCCACCTCATCTGCCCCACAGTTGTTACCACAGGGGTAAATGAGTCTCCCTTCATGTGCAGTTTTGCTTCCAGATTGGTTTGGTTTCAAATAGGATCCCTCACTGGCCTTTGCAATACCACAGGCCCATCCAAGACCTGATTCCTTAGATTGCTTTTTGTTTGTTTGTTTCTTCCGTTCATTGTTTTTTCTCAGGCTACTACCCAGGTGCCATGCCAGTAAATTCACATTGCTAAATTTATGGAGTCTTATCAATTTTACAGCCAGCACATAATCAATTACAGCATTCCCTGGCTTTACTTCTATTTCCTCTAATTCAGCGGTTCTCAACCTATGGGTTGTGACCCCATTTGGGGTCGATCGACCATTTCACGGGGGTCGCCAAGCAAGGCTGTCTGCCATTTTTTCCCCCTTTTCCAGCGGGTGCCTTACCTCCCTTGGGCTGGGCCAGCTGGTGGTCGGCCTGCTCCGTCTCTGCCGCTTGCCAGCTACGCCTCGGCCGGCGCAGGGGGCGGAACCACGCATGCGCGGCGCTCCCGGGCAGGGAAAGTCCTCGACTTACGACCGGCTTAGTCCTCGACTTACGACCGGTTTAGTCCTCGACTTACGACCGGTTTAGTCCTCGACTTACAACCGGTTTAGTCCTCGACTTACGACCGGTTGGGGGTCGCGGCATTAAAAAGGTTGAGAACCACTGCTCTAATTGGTGGAAGGAAAAAACAAAACAAAACTACATGCTTCATCTACCAACTACCACGATGATTGCCTGTCACAAGCTACATTTTGTGTCCCAAGGATTTGGATGATGTGAGAATTATTTTGCCTATTAAGCTCTTTCATTCCATAATAGAGAAGACAGTGGTTCTTGTGACACAGGAAATCATTTGATACTAATTAAACTTTTCATCCTGAGCAACTTTTTCTTCCTTATCCCACTCAATGTTTTTGCAGGTATATAATAGGAAAGAAAGGAGAAACTAGGAAAAAACTGGAGACAGAAACACGCACCTCCATCAGTATTCCCAAGCCAGGGGTAGAAGGAGAAATTGGTAAGATTTTGAGCTTGCAAAAATGAATAGACTTTTGAGTTTTCATACGTTGGTCACATAAAATTAAGCAATAATATATCCTGGTATTATGTGAAAAAAATATATATGTTATATTACCATGTATGAGATGAGCTGCAAAAGGGAAATTAAAGAAAGAGCATTTCTTTCCCTTTCCATGAGAAACAAAGACTTTCCATAAATGGAGGCAGTTTTTCAATTCACAGAAAAAGGAATCTTAATCAATGACAATGAAACAGTTGTTATCCAATGTGCATCCCAAAATCCTTAATTTATTTGCAATTATTATCTCTTTTCCACTTCTTTTTCCTTCCTCCCGTCTACTGTAGTTACCCAAAAAACCCCCAAATAATCTCCGATTTAAGATAACATTCCACCCAAAAGAGTCCTCACTTAACCAACCAGTTATTTAGCAATCATTCGAAATTAAAGACAGTTCTGAGGGGAAAAAAAACTTTACGGTTGATTTACAACCTTCACAGTGCCTAGCTGTCATGTGATCTCTATTAGAGCCAATACGTATTGTCCTGTGGTTTTCCCTTTTTTTTTTCCTCTCGCCAATCGGAGAGATTGGGGAGGAAGTGACTTCCAAAGAGTTTGCTTTTACATACATTGAAAGCAATGTGTTCACACTGGCAGCCCAGGCCTGGGAGCTGTGGGCACGCTGTGCCTACGGCTTACAATATTCTCTTGAAATCTCGTCCTCTCCAATCTCTCTGCTGTCAACCTCCAGCTCGAATATCCAAATAAAGTCCAGGATCTCTTTCATTTCTGAAGATCTTATTGGTTTGTTGAATATATGACATGGTATAGATGAAGGAAAATTAACTCTAAAATCCCAAGATATCTAACCAAAGCATATAACAATGACAAACCTCCCAGATGTCCATGTAGTTCATGTAAGCACCTTCTCGTTTTGAGAACCTTCTGGTATCTTCTTCACGGTGGTTAGAATGTCCTTGAAAGTTAGCAGTCATCTTGTTAATTGAGTTATGAGTAGAGCAAGTACCTGCTAGCTACCTGCTATTCTTAGATTTCTGGAGGGAAATTGAAAGACATTCGCATATATCCTGTCTTATTATTTTCCTTGCTTTCAGTGATCACAGGGCAACATCGGAGTGGTGTTATTTCAGCACGGACACGAATTGATGTTCTCGTTGAAAGCTTCCGTAAAAAACAGCCCTTCACACATTTTCTGTCATTTGCACTCAACCAGCCTGCAATTCAAAAGAAGTTTTTACAATTCAAAGAGGAAGTGTTGGAGAAATGTTCCCATGTAAGTTTTCATTATAATATTTGGAAAGAGTGGGAGTAAACAAAAAGTAACTAAGCTTTTCTTTCAAGATAGTTACAAAACAGAAAATAACATTGTAAATCTTGTTTGGCATATTGTTTCTTGTTTGTATCTAGCTTATTCGGTCTTTTCATTTTCTCTCAATCTTTACATCTATTTTCATTTTGGAATGAGAATATATTATATGGGTGAACTATAATGGAAGTGCTGATAATTATTTTGCTTCCACGAGAGCCTTTGATGATCACATTTCCTGGTTTGTGTGTTTTAATCCCTCAACAATAACAGCAGAAAATTAACTCATTAAGACACAGATAATGTGAGGAGGAGAGATAGTTCGGTGTAGTGATTAAAGCACCTGGCTAGAGATTGGGAGACTTCAGTTCTAGTCTTACCTTAACAAGCACTAGTAAGAACACTTAGACTTATATACGCTTCACAGCGCTTTACAGCCTCTTTAAGCAGTTTACAAAGTTAGCATATTGCCCTCAACAATCTGGATCCTCATTTTACTGACCATGGAGGGATGGAAGGCTGAGTCAACCTTGAGCCAGTGAGAATTGAACTGCTAGCAGTCAGCAGAATTAGCCTACAATACTGCTATCACGCCCGTCCGACGACGTCCAGAGTAATGAAAAATCAGGAACGCAGGTACGAGGTGCAAGCAAGGTTTTAATCCCTAGCTAACAAAAAGTCAGCACTGGGAGTGATTGCCCCCAGTGCTCTATATAACTGTGCCACGCCACATCACCCCACTCCCAGCAGCAATCCATCATCCGCCCACCGGTCATAAAAACCCCTCTAGTCCGGTCATGCCCTTCCCTCGAGTCAGCCCCGCCCTGCTGGCCCTCTGTCCGGCCGCCCGGGCCATGTTCGTCTACTGGCACCACGTTGCTCCTGCCTTCGTTTGCTCTCACGCCTCCGCAGTCCTGGTTGGCTCCTGGCAGCTCTCCTCCGTCCACCGGAGGCCTCCCACGGCTCCCAGCTCCAAGCGGCAAACAGCCTCGCTGCTCAGCTGCTCCGTCACCAGCTGCGGCCTCCCAATGTCTCCTGCGGCTTCCGGCACCCGGCAGCAGATGGCCTCGCCGCCCAGCTGCTCCGTCGGCAACTGCGGCCTCCCGAGGCCTCCCATGTTCTCCGGCAGCCGGCGGCGGCGGCCCATGCGGCACGGCATCAGACGGCTGCTCCCCCCACTGTGCGGCAGCTCTGGCGGCGCTTGTGAGTCCCTCCGGCCGCCGGCAAGGCCCAACGCCACCCAGCCACCCCCTGGCGCTCGGCTGCGCTGGAGGGTGGTGGGCCGTGGTCCCCCCGGCCACCGGCAAGGCCTCTCCAGCCCACAAATGGTAGGCGGCTGGAACGGGAACGGAGGGGTGGGGGGAAGGCTGTACCTGGCACCGACAGTGTGGTGGAGGCAGGGCGGCGTCTGGCATCATGGTGGCGGCGGCCGGCTGTGGGACGTGCTGCGAGTCACCCCCCCCACCGGTGAATGGCAAGCCCCGTGGGGCTTGACAACTGCATTCTAGCCATTGCACCACCACGGCTCTTTTTAAGCACAAAGTCAGCTGGGCAATGTAGGACCAGTCCTAGGAAAGAAGCAGTGGCAACTACATCCGAAAACATAGCCAAAAAAATTACAGAGACTTGTCCAGATAGTTATCAGGAGTCAAGATTGACTGGAAGACCCAATGTATACTGTCATGGAAAACTTTCTTATTTCTTTGTTCAGGCTTTTTGTCAAATTACCGTAAGATAAAAATTAATTTAAAAATAGAGTAATATAAATGCAATGTAGCTCAATAAAAACCTTCCGTTAAAAGCCATAAAGCAGTGCAGTGCTTTTAGTGTAATTAGAAAGAAGTGCAAACAAAGCCTTTATAATCAAGAGAGACTCCACACAAGAGTCCAGTCTCTGAATTAGACATCGCAATAGAGAATGTCTTCCTTAAAAAAAAGGATTTTACTTGCTTACCGAGATCAATTCTATTCAAGTTCTTTGGTATGTCCGTGAAGAGGGATGCGGGAAGAATATATATTGAGCCTCTATTAGATGTTCCCAAAGTGTCAGTACTCCTTCAAGGATAAAATTTATCTTCTATATATAAAATCAGATTTTTAAAAAATGGGTTAAAATAAGTTGCATTGGACCTTGATTTATTTTATAATTTATTTTTCGTTTATATATATCTGTAAAGTTTTGCTATTAAGGCAAGGTATGGGGAAATTTTCATCTTCTGAAAATTGCTTTAGTATCTTCATTGGGACTATGCAGGGTGTCTCACCAGAGGGAGCCTTTTTGTCCCTTCTCTTTATGATTTGACCCCTCCAGACATGAAGAGCATCTCTAAAAATCTGTTATTTCAAATTGAGGCTTTCATAGAGAAGGGTTTTTTCCCATGTGCTTTATAAGGCTCCTTTATCATTTATTCTTTATTCTTTATTGGCCAAATATGATTGGACACATAAGGAATTTGTCTCTGGTGCATAAGCTCTCAGTGTACATACAAGCAATAAGTGATTAATAATAATAATAATAATAATAATGATGCTGATGCTGATGCTGATGCTGATAATAATAATAATAATAATAATAATAATAATAATAATAATAAAGTTGGGAGAGACATTGGAGGTCATCTAGTCCAACCCCCTGCTCAGGCAGGAAACCCTATACCATTTCGGACAAATGGCTATCCAGTTTCTTCTTAAAAACTTCCAGTGTTGGAGCATTCACCGCTTTTGGAGGCAGGTTGTTCCACTGGTTAATTGTTCTAACTGTCAGGAAATTTCTCCTTAGTTCTAGGTTGCTTCTCTCCTTGATTAGTTTCCATCCATTGCTTCTTCTCCTGCCTTCAGGTGCTTTGGAGAATAGCTTGTCTCTCTCTTCTTTATGGCAGCCCCTGAGATATTGGAATACTGCTATCGTGTCCCCCCTCGTCCTTCTCTTCATTAAACTAGACATACCCAATTCCAGCAACCGTTCCTTATATGTTTTAGCCTCCAGTCCCCTAATCATCTTTGTTGCTCTTCTCTGTACTCTTTCTAGAGTCTCAACATCTTTTTTACATCGCGGTGACCAAAACTGGATGCAGTATTCCAAGTGTGGCCTTACCAAGGCATTGTAAAGTGGTATTAATATTTCACGTGATCTTGATTCTATCCCTCTGTTAATGCAGCCCAGCACTGTGTTGGCTTTTTTGGCAGCTGCAGCACACTGCTAGCTCATATTTAAGTGATTGTCCACTAAGACTCCGAGGTCCCTCTCACAGTTACTACTATTGAGCAAGGTACCCCCTATACTATACCTGTACATTTGGTTTTTCTTGCCTAACTGTAGAACCTTACTTTTTTCACCATTGAATTTCATTTTTTTAGATAGTGCCCAGTTAAACATGCCTGCGGGTTTGTGGCCTTTTTAAGGAGTTTCTGTTGGACCCCCCTAAATTGGCCAGCAGATGCAGTTATGCTTTGTTACTTTATTTATTCATAATCCTTACCATTTTTAAGCAAAGAAATAAGTCATTGCAAGACTCTGCTTTTTATGGAAAATAAAAGTTAGACTCGGAAATACATGATCTGCTTTCCTCTTAGCTCTAGAATAGAATAGAATAGGAATAGAATAAAAATAGAATAGAGTAGAGTAGAGTAGAACAGAGTAGAGTAGAGTAGAGTAGAATAGAATAGAATAGAATAGAATAGAATAGAATAGAGCTGGAAGGGACCTTGGAGGTCCTCTAGTCCAGCCCCCTGCTCAAGCAGGAGGACCTATACCAGTGGTTCTCAACCTTTTTAATGCCGCGACCCCAACCGGTCGTAAGTCGAGGACTAAACCGGTCGTAAGTCGAGGACTAAACCAGTCGTAAGTCGAGGACTAAACCAGTCGTAAGTCGAGGACTACCCAACCGGTCGTAAGTTGAGGACTTTCCCTGCCCGGGAGCGCTGCGCATATGTGGTTTCGCCCCCTGCGCCGGCCGAGGCGTAGCTGGCAAGCGGCAGAGACAGAGCAGGCCGACCACCAGCTGGCCCAGCCCAAGGGAGGTAAGGCACCCGCCGGAAAAGGGGGGGAAAAATGGCGGACAAAAAAAATGGTGGACAAAAAAAATGGCGGACAGCCTTGCTTGGCGACCCCCATGAAATGGTCGATCGACCCCAAATGAGGTCCCGACCCACAGGTTGAGAACCACTGACCTATACCATCTCAGACAGGTGATTGTCCAGTCTCTTTTTAAAAACTTCCAGCGATGGAACGCCCATAATTTCTAGGGGAAAGCTGTTCCACAGGTTGATTGTCCTCAGTGTCAGGAAGTTTCTCCTTAATTCCAGGAGAATTAATTAGTTAATTAATTAATTCTAATTAGACAGATAGATACACAGCCTGGATTGCTTGCTTGAGATTCTGCTGGGTCTGTCTTTCAAAATCAGCCCTGCTCTTCCTAGCCCACCTCATCTCACAGCAGGATGCTCCAAAAAACCTCGGAATCTTGGAAAATCTATGCACCGCAGCCCAATAAAGATATATTAGAGCTATGCGAAACAGCAGGGAAGTTTGTAGGGTGCTCAAAGGCACCTGGCAATATATCTGTTGCCGGCTGCAGTTAACCGTTGGTGCTGCTGTTTCGAGCTTAAGAGTGGAGCAACTATTAATGATGTCTCTATTCAAATATAATTGAATAGCAATCAGAAATGCAGATAAGCCAGCACACAAATTTCAGGTGCCGAAATTAGCATTTTGGCTGTTGTTGAATAATGAGGCGGTATCATTGCCTCCGACTAGAGTAGTTACCATGGTAACCATTGCTCCCTCCATTGTAGTGCTGTAGTCGCCGGTTTAAATATATTTTGAGAATGACTCCGCCCCACTTTTCCCTTTCTTTTTCACCCTGTCATGACAATGATGAAGCTGGCATTAAAAATGTAAAAATCAGACCCTTCCAAGCTTTTAGATTAGGTAAGCGTCTTGTCTGTCAAGTGCGAAGCTCAGACAC